CTATACGACTGCTAAACGTTCATGATTTAGCCGCGATTGCGGAAGACAATGATGGTGTTTTGTTACCGAAGGGGTTATTCAGGGTTTTGCTGCAATCACAAATTACAATATGACGATGTGGGGGGGGGGGGGGGTGGGGGTTCATCTCTAATCTCGCCCACCCCTCTATCTATAGCTGAATCCGCCACTGCTGACGAGGTGCGTCTTAGTCATAAAATTTATTTGTAAGTTCTGATCGTAAAATTTAAATTTCAAGCTAGACAAAATTTGGCATACCTAGTAAACTATGTTTAAATAATTAGAAAAATTATGATGTAATTTGAAAGTTCTGAGTTAACATATACCGGGTTTTAAGTTTTTAAAGGCGATTGAAGAGAGTTGAGCATGTTTGAATTTTTTAGCGAATTTCCCTACAGGGAAGTAGCTATTACCGTAGGGGGCACGGAAAGACCTAGGCCAGCAGCAAACCTAAGTACTCATTAAATCCAATGTTATTTAAATGGGGAAGAAATATGTCTTGTTTCACTATGTATTGTTATAACATCCTAATCATAAAATTTATTCAACCACTGTGCTATCCGAGATTCTATACCGAGGTAGCCTCGGTCCCAAAAACCTCGGTTAGTCGGAAGTGAACTGTGTTTTTCGTCAAGTAAGTAAAGGTTACATAGTACAATAGGCTACTGAATTGATATTTACCTCTAGCAAGGTTGAATTGAAATTATTGTTCTTGTATTCAGATACTCCAGACAGAAACAGACAAGGTTTTGGCTAGTCCTCAGTTTCCTGACTTGTCTCGCCTCGGCTTTCTAACAATCCTGCAACAGGAGGTGTGCAATGTACCTGAAATTGACCTCTGGACCTCTGCCATTGAATGGGCTACGCATAGAGGTAATCAGTGTTCTCACACACAATTTGATGCGTTTCTAAATCTAATATATAAAATTCTCGTGTCACAGTGTTTGTCTGCAAACTCCTCCGGAACGACTTCACCGATCGTTATGAAATTTGGTGTGTAAATTCTGTAGGTATGCGAATCGGACGTAAACTATTTCCCGTTTCGAAATTCTTAAAAGGGCTCCGCCCCAGTGGCTCTGGAGTTTCCCATGTTAACCTTATGAGAAATGGAATTAATGAATCTTAACAGCTGTTTCAATTAAACAAGTTGGTTCTGTTCTATGATGTTCAATAGCATTAAAGTTACAAGGATTACCAACAGGGTGCAGCACTATTATTTCTTTTACATTTATGACAACAGCTAATTTGCAACCAAAAGGTGAGTGAGCGTAGCGAACGAACTTCAACCTGGAGGCGAGTTAGCGTAGCGAACGAGCTAACCTGAAGGCAAGTGAGCGCAGCGAACGAGCTCCAACCTAAAGGTGAGTGAGCGTAGCGAACGAGCTCCAACCCAAAGGTGAGTGAGCATAGCGAACGAACTTCAACCTGGAGGCGAGTTAGCGTAGCGAACGAGCTAACCTGAAGGCAAGTGAGCGCAGCGAACGAGCTCCAACCTAAAGGTGAGTGAGCGTAGCGAACGAGCTCCAACCCAAAGGTGAGTGAGCGTAGCGAACGAACTTCAACCAGGACGGGATTGAGCGATGCGAACGAGATCATCTTGAAAATTAAACGTAACGGTACTTTCTTTCCATCGGTCTGTCTTAGGGGAAACCTATAACTTAGGCGATACGAAGTTCGCCGGGTCAGCTAGTATTTTTATAGTATTTCAATAACAATTCCTATTTCAATTTTTTAAATTGATAATTGTTTAATTTTGTCTCAAGATTTTATTTATGCTCTGCCACAGGCAGGGAAACTCCTCATGATTTTCAAATTGACTAATACGTCTATATAACAATACACTAGTAAACCCATCACCCTTCATTTGTAACAAGCCTGACTCACACATTGTTAACCATGTCAGACAACACTCCTGCCTGAGCCAGGGCCGATTTACCAAATAGGCACGTAGGCTTGTGCCTAGGGTGCGAGATAATTCCATTTTTTAGGGGGCACCAAAAAATTGGAAAATAAAAAAATGATGGTTGTATTTGCATGTGATTGCGGTAAACTTATGATAATTCCTTGCAGCCGTATAAACATCAATAATCGTCTCCCGTGATTGCCGCGAAAAATTCTGACTATTTCCTGCCATCGTGTAGACATAATCGTCCACATTTTCATAACTTATAGGCAATATATGAACATATCCTGCGATCTTGAGGAGATTATAATAGTCTACCGCAAATGAGGCAAAAATCTGATTTTTTCCCGCGTCATGTAGACATTATCATCGTCTTGCACGATCGCCGTAAAATTCTGATTATCCATATTGGCTGTCAAGAAATCATCATATAAAAAAAAAAATCATCATGAAATCATTATATCGTCTCCCAAGGTCGTGTGGACAATGGACATAGTAATCGTCTACTGCGATTGCGGAAAAATGTTAAACCATATCCTTGCAGACGTGTGGATATCATCATCATGAGTGTAAAATTTCTACAAGATTATTTCCCAATGAAGATATAAGAAGATGACCTGCAATTATGTTTGCTGTTAGCTGTACGGCGATCGCGGCAAAATTCTAATCATCCCTCGCAGGAGTGTGTAGACAATAGACATATTTTCGTCTCCCGTGGTCACAGAAACATCACTGTTGTCATGCACGATCGTGGTAATTTGAATATTCTAGGTACCATAATTCCTGGTTCAAAAACACTCGAACATAATTCCCGGCTTCCTCGGTTTGTGGACAACCTGTTATATATATTGTAATGGGGCGCAACTATTAGTTGTGCCTAGGGCGCAAACAGGGCCAAAACACTCAGGCAGGGTCCAAAACGGGCATGTCCTGAGCTGTAAATGATAGTATTGTTATTTTATTTACTTCCTCCCATGGTCCTTTGTACCTCAAGTGGTACTTGGCCTCACCAACATACTGTCTCCACGTCATCCTGTCTCTTGCGGTATCTTCATTGACTTCCACCCTGGTCATATCATTCTTTACTTCATCCGTCCAGTGTTTCTTTGGTCTCCCTCGTGGTCTTCTCCCTAGTGGATCACTTTTCCATATATTTGATACAATGTGCTTATTCCTCTCTTCCAATGATGTGGCCCATCCAGCGAAGCATCCTTTTTTTCCCCTCTGTGATTATATCAGGCTCCTTGAACAGGTCTCTTAGTTCCTGATTATGTTTAACTCTCCATACGTCTCCTTTAGTAAGGCCATAGATTTTGCGCAGGACTTTGTTTTAAAAAATAATTAGTTTTTTCTTTGTGTTTTTATCCATAACCCAGGTTTCAAGCTCCATAAAGAAGGACAGGTCTTATGATAGTTTTGTAGATTTTAAGTTTTTTGTGATGAGACAATAATCTTGATGATAATAATTTGTTTAGAGCATACATACTTCTACTGGCTAGGTTTACTCTGTTCTTTATTTCTATGTGTTCCTCACTCTGTGAACTGATAAATAACTCATAAATATTTAAATATTGTTATTTTACGTATATTAATTAAGTTGTAAAATACACAAAACCGGTCCATGACAACTTCAAAATGCATAATATAAATATACTAATTCGCAGCAAACCTGCAGGCTAAATGAATTTCCATTTGCCTGTTTAGATTCTTACTAAAATATTTCCTTAAACATATCTGATTTATTCCCCACTATTTATTTCATCCTATATTATTAAAATTTGATACAAAATACTTTTGCCTTCCCTGTTGCAGCAAACTTAAGTACTTGTTAAATCAGTGGCGTAACTAGTCAGACTGCGCCCCAATGCAAGTATTGATTCCCCTGCCCCCCTATTCGTATAGACTCATTCTCCCCCCGCCCTCCCTAACCTCCAACGAAACTAACAACGACATTTCTCCGTACCTTCACACTTCCTGGATACTATTTCATCACACACGACATTATACAAACTCTGTCCAATTAGAGAAAGGTTGTTCAAAGAAATATAATTTATTATGATAAAGTAAAATCATTTAATAACATGTAAAGTAATTTTAAAGTTAATTATTTAAAAAAATATTCCTAAAAAAATTAATTGCAAGTAAAATTTAGTTACTAAACATTTCCAAACACCAATTACATAACTGAAGTAAGGATCCAAAACTAAAAAAAATATATAAATTAATAAAATATATCTTTAAACGACAAAAAAAGGCCACCAGAGAGTCATTGCTGGCATCAGCTCAAGAAAATAATGTAGATCCAGTTTAAAAAATTCAAACTTTTGACCCTTCCTGCTCTTTATATTTTACACTTAGCACTTTTCATTAAAAACAACCTTTATTTATTTGAAAACTGTAAAATATCATAGTTATGAAACTAGACACAAACAACTTTTTGAAATTCCAAGCCACAGATTAGCTTTGTTTCACAATGTGCCCTATTATCAATGCATACAAGTCTACAACAAATTGTCCTTTTATTTCACAGACCAGTCTTTGAGCCCTAATAATTTTAAAAAGAAACTTTCAGAAAAACTGATTTGCACTTTGTCCTTATGACATGAATTCATTTTTATCCTGTCAACTGTTATCTTAATATTTGTATATATTTATTATGTGTAAACTATTTATAATGCATGATTTGTACTGACATGTCAGATATTCATTGCTGATATTCAGCCTCTGTATTATGAATTTTTGTGATGAATACATTGATTTGATTTGATTTTGATTTGATCACATTACATACTTACAATTAACTAGTGGCTTGTAGGGGCAATAGCCCCTTTGGGTGAATAGGACCCCCCCTAATATTTTTGTAAGTAAATATACAGAGATATCCTTTTGGTGGTCTTACAATCTTAGCAGGAAGTTTCATTTTTTTATCTTAACACTTTTGAGTGTCCCCCGAAATGGGGGATTTTGGGGGCAACTCAAAACTTTTAAATGTAAACCCTCTTCAAGTGACACCTCATTTTGAAGTGTTTACAAAAACTTGAAGAATGGTGAAAACCAGAGTTCACTATCTCTCTTCTGTCCATAATCGTAGCCAATATTACAACTAAAATATAGACTTCTTTGTACTTTACTTAACATTTTATATTTATTCAGTGCTCTATACAGTATATCGCAAGCTACAATATAATGTTTGTACAATGACACGTGGTCGTGGTTACTGAAATAATACTGAAAGATTTTATCTGTCTATCTTTGTAGCTAACAATGTCCACAAACATTTATTTTCAGTAATCTATAGGGATAGTTTTGCTTCGACATATCGTTTTCCAAAAATTTTCCAGAATATCAATTTTTTTATTAGCCTGCGCCCCGCCCCCTAAAGGCCTGCACCCCAATGCACTGCATTGGTGTTAGTTACGCCATGTGTTAAATCGAATGTGATTGAAATAGGTAAAATGACTTGTCCATGGAAAATTTTAGTAAAAATCCTATCATACAAATTGAAATTTGCTCTGTCTTAAGGTTTGCTGCATCAGGGGTATTTTTGTTTGTTTTACCAATTGTTAGCATAATTTTATTAGGGTAGCTTTTACTCTTTTCATCAAGAGATCAATTTCAGTTTCAGGAGAGTCGAAAAATGGAGAAGTCTTGAGGAATGAGTTGAATGACCATCTTAAACACATTCGAATCTGTACATTGTCTGACAAAGATTTGATGGCTCAAGTGGTACCTTCAGGAGTCCTGACATATTATGAACTCAAGTTGATCGGTGACACTCGCAGAACTGAGAAAGTACAGCCTGACTTGACAACAATCTGCAACAAGATTGAAAAGAGGCAAGAACCGTTGTCAGAATTGATGGAACAAAGATTGAGCCTAAATAGTGTTTATGGTTCCATTACTAATTCAAAAATAAATATTATAACTAAAGGAGTCGCAATTAAGTTGTGTGCAATAAAGCTTAAGAGCTCCAGTACAAGTCAACACCAATGCAATTGCTCAATAACAATACAAAAGGGGACAGAACTCCCTACTGAGATGAGATACCAAGGACCAATCTTTGGAGTAGCTTCCAACTGTACCATTTCAATTGATGCCATGAAGAACGTGTGTTTGTCTCCAAATTCAAGCTATTCAGTGAGCCTCTCATTTCATTGCGGGTATAATCATACTCATTACTATGTGTCAAGTACAGCCAGTGGGATACATTTTGACACTTCAATTCAAGCCCATTCTGGAGACCATGTTACCTCCATAAACACAATATGTTACAAAACAGTAGGACAGAACACTCTGAGGAGGACATAACTAGATACTACTGAAGAAATGTGATCAGGACTAATTTGAAGGAACTATTTGAGTTCCTTGTGAGCCTCTTACTTTTTATGAAGTGACATTTTTGTTTAAGTGACATGCTTCTTGCAACAGAACATAACTCTTTTTATTTGTTTACCTTGGTAAATATTAGCCTGTTCATCCTGTTATTATGTTTTGGTTGTTTCTTGATAAAAATATATGAGTGAATTTTAAGACTTAATTTAGCAATTAATAAATTATCTCATATTAACCCTAGCGCTGGCAAACGCCGGATATACGGCGCGAACGGCCGCGGCCGAAATGGCAACGCCGGATATACGGCGCCAATGCAGGTGTTACGGTAAGCCTATATATATAATTTTTTTTTTTTTTTAGTTGTGTTCGCTTTTTAGGGTTACTGTTGTAACAAATAAGTTAAATAATTCAAACCAGAGTACCCTGGAATTATATATTTTATAAGGTGTACGGTTTTGTACATGACCTGGGTTGGATGATTATTTGGTACTAGCGCGGGGGTACGATCAACATAATAGTAGGGCTATCAAACAAAATACACAAAGTAAGCTATATAAACTATATATTTTTGGAATCAGCACAAAATTTACTACAACTTTACAATTTACCTTATGATGATAAGTCTAACCTGCACTTAGCTACACGACGGAATATAAAACATTTAATAAAAAAATTAATAATGCCTAAAATTCAGAAAAACTAAAAAAAAAAATTTTTTGTGGTAACCATGTAAACCACCTAAATTATTGTTCTTTGTTTTATTCTGAACAAAATGATATATAATAATCCATAGTTATGATGCTATTTCTAATTTTTATGATGGTTTAAAAATGATATTACATAATTAATAAAATCCCTATGCCAGTACAGCGTTACACTACTGCCAGCTCTAGGGTTAATTATCTCTTTCTGTCTGTTGCACACAAATATTGTTGAAATATTTATGTACCTCTGTTACTATAAATTCTATTTCATGGCACTGTAAAATATTCTTTTATAAAATTGCATTTTGTGCTCTGTAGTGGATAAGTAAATTAGGAACTATTAAAACACAGCTTCCAACTGATGTAAATGTTAAATACATTTTGTTAATTCAGATAGTAAAACTAACTTGTAAATTATTGCAAGCACTTGTCAATAAACATTACTATAAATTAACCTCTTGCCTATTCATAATAATATCCCTTTTATTTATTTTTTATGTTCCTATAGCATTTGATGATATTCTAGTATCAAAAAAACTAATTATTCATTTATTAACTAAGTATTCATGTTGAAGCAACTTAAGGCACATTTTATGGCCCACAAAACCAGGCTAAAACCATAAAATGTATTAAATAGTTATTTTCCTGCAGTCTCCTGATTAAGTGGTCTTCCATGCAGGGATTATAGTACAGAAAGTTTCTAATTGCTGTATTAACTTACTTTTGCCACACTGTTTTTTTTTTGTTTTTTTTCACTCCAGTATTCCAACCAAACAACACAAAGCAGTGTGCTTTTATTAGGCACGTAATATGTGTACGCTTAAGTCAAGAAATTAAGTTGACAACAGATACTACGATCACCTGTTACAGTGTTTTGCTTTTCGTTCAACGATTGGATTTAGCCCCAACCTAAAACGTGTTTAGTGTTTGAAAGAATAATTATTTCTACTAGAGGTCGTCCAGTGGTCGAAACTCGACCAAAAATATTTAATGTACAGACTTCTTTATTTTCATTCCACACTTTGAATAGAACATGTGATTGGAGTTTCTTCCATTTGTTTTGATTTTCTGTTTATATTTCGTTGTTATTTCGTCACCAGCATGGCAACGCATAATATCCATGTTAAATTTTTCAAAATTTTAAATTCATTTTTTGTGCTTATTTTTTAGCCTATTTTAATTTATAAAGGGATTCTGCACACCTACAGGAAAATAGCTTTCCAACGGTATGCGTAGATTTTCCCTACGATTCACACGAGCTGAGAAAAAAGGTTTTAAAGAAACATGCTTGCCTATTAATATATAGATACTTTACAATAACTGAAGGAAAAATATAATGTGTAGCACAAGTACAAATTGCCTTTGCTGCGCTCGAGAAAAAAAATGATATCGTCCTGTAATCCAGCTACTTGGAGGTCACAAATTATGGACATTTTTTATATGCATGATCTGTGGATGCGATACTATTAAACATTTTAAGGATAGTCTGTAAAACAACACTATAAAGAAAATGTTTTACCGTACATGGTTTGTATATTTAAACACTCTTCACTATGTTTGTAAAGATAAAAACACTGAAGTGTTCCATAAATACAATACTAGGTGGAAAAATCTTATTGTAAAAAGTCATCATCGGCTAGAACTTTAAAAAATGAGCCTTTATATATCGGCAATTTATTCATAAGATTGTTGTCTGCCGTACTAAAAAAAATCAAAAAGAAACAAATTGTTTTAAGAAACTTAAATCATCTATTATTATTATACTAGGGGTCGTCCAGTGGTCGAAAACTCAACCAAAAATATGTTATGTACAGACTTCTCAATTTTCACCCCATACTGTAAATAAAACACGTGATTGGATTTTCCATTTGTTTTGATTTTCTGTTCATATTTTGTTGTTATTTAGTCACCAGCATGGGAATTCATAATGCCCATGGTTATTTTTTATAATTTTTACTTTCTCCCCCTATACCATAGTATATGGAGAAAGTATTGTTTTCGTCAAAATTTTCGAGTTGAGTTTTGAGTGGATATATTCGTTTTGGGTCCCCCTGGACCCAAAAAAGTGGTTTTCGAAGTGATGTCTGGATGTGTACAGAGCTAGGGACTACACCTGTGGTCCGATTTCGATGAAATTTGGTATGTAGGTTCTAATCCATGGTATCTCCAGGGGTTTTTTCACTATTTGAAATTTTAATTTTTAATGGGGATTTTCTCATAAAAAACCGGAAAAATCTGATTTTCTCAAAAATGGCCCGAACGATTTTGATAAAAATTTAGTATGTTGTAGCCCTTTAAATTCTGAACAAAATGGTACAAATTCCATCTCTGTAAAAATTGTGGTTCAAAAGTTATTATAAATTATGTTATTTTCCCATAAAACCCCCATAAAATAATGAAAAATAGGACTTTAGAAAAAATCCGGTTTTGATTTAACATACTGTAGTATGTTATGGCCCTTATAATTTTGATAGTTTTTTCCTTTTTTTAAATTTTGATTTTTCATGGGATTTTCCCATAAAACCCCATAAAATTACAGAAAAATAGGATTTTGACAAAAATGGCCCGAACGATTTCGATAAAAATGTAGTATGTCATACCGGTAGTCTGAACAAATTTGAACAAATCCCATTTTTTCTCACCGCTTACACATGATAAAGGTTGTTGACAAACTTATGGGAGAAAGTATGTGTCAGAATGCTGACACCGTTTCTTTAAATTCATTTTACGTGCTTATTTTTGAGCCTATTTTAATTTATAAAGAGATTCCGCACATCTACATGAAAATATCTTTCTAACGCACAGTATGTGTGGATTTTCCCCGCGATGCACATGAGCTGAGAAAAAGGTTTTATAGAAACATGCTTGTCTATTAATATAGGTATAGATAGATATTTAATAGGCCAACATTTATTTTGTGATCATTGTTTTTTGTTTTGAAGCTGCTACGCATCCAATCACCAAGTTTAAGGTGTCGTTGGATAGGTTGTTGCACCTAGATATTCCATCAAACAGAACATTTTTGAAATTCGATCAGGGCTCTGCCCCAGTGGACTTCAAAGTTGCCATGTTATCCTTATGGAGAAAATATAAATGAACACATGAATACTTTGAAATTTACACCAACATTTTAAACAGTTGGTTATATTAAAATTGAAACATGTGCTATAAGGATTAAGTACCAAATATTTGTGTTATACCATAGATGGTTTTACCTTCTTCATATCGTTTAGTTTTGTGTAACAATTTCCTTCCTTTATTTTGTTTCATTCAATTAACTCTTACTTTTTTAAACCCCCCCCCCATTTTTAGTAATTTGTTTAGTAGCCTTTTACTTTGAATTCAAATTGTGTATGTGTGAAACTTTGAACTCCTAAAACTGTTATTTGAAGAAGCTATCTTTTCATCAGAAGAAACGTATGGCCATAATCACATACCCAGAACTCCATGTGTGGTAACCTGATAGTATCTAAATTTAGAACCAAAAGTCCATAAGGTAAACGCACCAGTAGCTGACAGTATAAGAAACTATACACACTTAATAATCCGTGGTTTTGAATAAATAGGAACTAAAGAGATATTACGGATTTTATGGGATTCTAAATTTAGTGTAGTTTTCAAATTTGTCATACAAAAAGGGTTTTTAAAATATGTTTAATAACATTTTTAAACTTAATTCAACCTTTGTACGTGTTCCAGTGGCTGACAGTGAAAAAAGTGCTTGTACCAGTAGCTGACTGTCAGTTGTCCCAGTAGCTGACACTGAAACTATAAATGCCCTACTAGCTGCCAAACCTAAGGGTTTTATAATTTATAAGACGAATAAAATCTAACTTAATAATTAAGTTATCAATAAAATCATGTAAAACGTTATTAAGAAAATTTATTTTACATATTTTAAAATAAAAAATATTTACATTAAAAAATATATAGCCTATATATTAAAAAAAATACATTTTTTTAAGATATTTGGCTTATTAATTAAAAAATTAAAATCATTTTATAAAAATGTAAAATCACATAAACTATAAATAGCATGCAAATTTCGATGGGTAAAACCAATTTAATATTGTGCAATTAAGTAGCAAATATCCCCTGTCAGCTAGTGGAACTTGTATGGCTTTTGTGTACCAAAGCCTGACATTGATATAATTTTAAATCCAAACCCCCTAACACCCCAATTTTATCATAAAATTGTCAACAAAGGTATAATTGATAAAAATAATGGGCCTAACCATTAATACTATTTAAGAAATTTAGCGAAATGACAAAAAACCAAACTTACCTTCTTAACAATTTCGTTAAGGGAATCGACTAAATGTGATGTATACAGACAGGGTCGCTTTCAAACCACCACCATTCAACGAGTATGGGCTAAATTTCACTGATTTGTTTGTAAACAAATCAAGAATAAACATGTGTTCTTATAACAATGCAATCATGTGTAAATGTTTATAAGAAACCACATTATAATGTAAAGAAACTCAAACTGTCAGCTTCTGGAGCACTGTCAGCTACTGGTGCATTTACCTTAAATATAATTTTGTTTTATCAAAATTAAGTTCAT